TGCTGGGCTGGAGTGAAGTGCAACCGGAATCCTGGCTCAGCTTGGCAGGAGGCTGGGGGAAGTGGGCACGGTCGGAGCGCAGCTGCTTGAGGCTGGTTTGTGTTGTTGTTGTTGATTATTGAATGTATCCATTCCAAACAATACTTGAGACTTCCTCCTCTTCCCCCGCTTTTTTTTTATCACCCCCTTCCTTTGTTCTTYTGCACCCCCATACTGCCCTCTTCTCTCCCTTCCTTTCTGTCAGTAAATATTTGATGGAAGTCTGCGGTGTGCCTGTCAGGATCTATATGAAAGKGATACAACGGAAGCAGAGAAGGGGAGGCGGCAGACCCACTGGGGACCCCCAGCAGCCTGCCTGGAGCTGCCTCCTGCTAACAGAATCCTGGGTTTGTGCCATTGGGGGCAGCAAACGTGCTCGGGGGAATGTTTCCCCAGGGAAAAAGCAAAATGGATCCAAAGCAACCTGGGTAACCCTGTGCCCACTGTCAATCATTACTTGGCTGCAGAGTAAGGATCTAGGACCCAGTTTTGGTCAGTGGAGCCTGAGAGGAAATGGTTGGGGGTTCTGGGTGTCTCTTTGCTAGAGAGATGAGAGACGTTCAAGAGATAGGGGAAAGTGGGGAATGTCCGAGCAGCCGCTTCCTCCCTTTCTTCCTTTGGGGCTGTCTAGAGAGGACGTGATGCTTTAATTTGCAGCGGTCATCTAGGAACCGAAGGAGAAAGCTTGGCAAAGTGAATAAGAGCCATCTTGAGTCCTGGGATCTCTGGAACTGCTGAATGAACAACTCTAGAGCCACCTACCACCAAATTCCTGTTGGTGAAACAATGAATTGTATTTGTTGTTTGTGTTCCTTTTAGTTGGGCATTCTAGTATTTTGTGACCAAAGGCATCTCAGCTGTTACAAGAGGGAGGAAATAAACAGCTGTGCTTTTCTGTCATCTGTGGCCCAGAGCATCCTGGAAGTCAAGGCAAAAAAGGAAATCAGATAAATTGAAAAGCTCTCATTCTTAATGAGGAAGAGCTCCTCAGGGAGTTTYAGCATTTTGCTCCTAAATTCCCTGTTTGACACTAAATTTCTACTTGGGAGTTTATGAAAAGAATGCTGAGAAACATGATTGCTAGATCCAGGAAAACTGTTTCACAGGAAAAGCAGTTTTTACAGCCTTTTTCTTAAGACAATTAGGATCTAAATATAAAGGGAGAGTCTAACCAGAGAGGCAGAGAGTGGGGGGAAAGCTGCTCCATGCCGTCTGCACCCCACCCAGATGGTCACATCTTCCCTCCAAAGGGAGTGCAGGGTAGTCCTTGTATCTTTTCTGCAGGATGTTAATAGATGCCACAAGGGGTTAAAATAAAAAAGGCAAATACATTTGAGTGAGTTCAGTAGGTATCTTGACTGTGATATGTTTTGAAGGCATTGATACTATGACATCAAACTTGAGATACTCTTGATTGGAAAGTACATCATTATTTAATGTATCACTAAGAAAGAAAAAAAAACTGTCTAAGAATGGGAAGTGTCACAGGAGACCCCTCAGTAAAGCTGGGACAATGAAAAGCTACACTCTCAGTGTAGAAGAAAATGAGAAATAAACCCTCTACCAAGAGAGGGATGGTAARAAACGGTCTGGCCTCCTCCTTCACCCTGGTGGAGGGGGAGAGAACTAGGGAGGAAATCCCTGCAGGAATCACTGGAACCCGAAGCTGGTTCTCAGCCTGAGGTCTCACTCTACAAGTGGTCCTCAAGGGGTCCCGAAAGCTGGTGCCACCACATCACTGGCAGAAGCAAAYACAAACCCTCCCTGGAGAACTCCATTTCAATCCCAGTCAGTGGTGAATGCAAAACACCAATTGAAAGATGTTTCTGGACTTCAGGACGTTAAAGGCGGAGAGATTTAGCATGGATGGAGGACAGTACACAGAGATGCCTGTGAGCAWTGCAGAAAGACACAGCACATAGTCCCAGCCACTCCATCCCACAGGGGAGTTCCAGGTGCCCAGCTGGGGCAGTGGTCACTGCTGCTCCCATTTCTGAAGTGTTTGCTGGCACCAAGTTCTGGGTGAGGGGCTCTGTGTCAGTCAGCTCCTATTATCCTCACAGAGCCCCTGCATAAGGACAGCAACATCACTGCCATCGATAGCAGAGGACACAGAAGTGCTTAACTCACCTGAGGTTGAACACAAGTAAGGAGCATGGTGAAGCTGGGTTTTGAATGCATGCTCTTCTCTGATATCCTAAAGGTGATGCCTATCAGACACTCTTCGAAAAATACCATCCTGGCCGCTGAACCTAGCACATTCTCCAAACTGCAACATGTCAGTCAACTGTCTATTGCCTAAGTGGAGGTAATTCTGAATCAAATTCTGTTTCAAAACACCCCCACAAGGCAGAGCAAAGTCTTCTGCTCTCCACTGGTCTTGGCTGAATGGGTGATGCTGGGTCCAGGTTGGGCAATCCTGTAATCTCTGTAAAAGGGTCAGCCATGGGCACGAGAACACAGTTCTAACACTCCTGGTGAAGACTCCTACCTTCTGGTTTGAAAAGATGCTGTATAAGTGTCACATCTCTCTATTAACATTTTCTAACTTCTGAGATACAGCTAGGCTCCAGTCACCTTTCTGGTCCATGTCTGTCCCTTCTCAGTCTGGCTGACCTTAATCCAGGAAAACAGTAGGCTCCCCTGGCCCCAGAACTGAGCAGGATGGCCAGGGCCATCTGGAGAGCGGGAGCTCAAGTGAGTAATAAATCCCCTCCCTGCAGGAAGACGAGCCAAGTTTTACTACAGATCTTATCACAATGCAAAGGGTTGGTTCACCTATGATTGAGTTAATCCTGTCACTGTATAAATCAATAGGAAACTCAGAGGAGGTGATTTGATTTAGGATGTTCATTTTTGGGAAGCTGGTCTTCCTACAATTTTGGAGCCAAGCTATGGCCCAGGTACTTCCATGATAAATGGAAAGTTTAGCCCCCAAAGGACCAGACTTGTTGATAAAATAAATTCAGATCCCTACAAATAAAAATTTCAGATGCATTTTAGTCTCCTCAGTTCAGTAGGCTGAATCCCTTAATCTACCAAATTATTATGGAAAAACTCTTATCTCATCCTGTCAAAATCACTGTTCTCATGGGGGTACTCTCTTGAGAGACATGAGTTGCTTCATAATCACTTAGATTATGCACAGTGTGCAATATCTTGAAGCAGACCACACACTTGAAGAAGTACAACACGGGAGTGGAATAAGTCCAAGAGACAGGCTGGCCAATAAGGGCTATAGTGACACATATCACCGGGAGGGTTTGCTGACAGAGAAAGGCTTCTAATTCCACCTCTGACTCAGTCCAGTGTCCCTTCTCTGTGGGCCAGAGACTGGGCAGTCAGGGGAACACTGGGTAAAGACAGGCCAAGCTAAGGGTTTTGAGTATTGTTTCTTTTTTTCTTTGTAGTTAGACACAATACCTTTATTTKATTTATTTATTTTTYATGTGGTGCAGAAGATTGAACCCAGCACCTCACRCTTGCTACRCAAATGCTTTACCATTAATCGACAACCCTRGCCCCTGAATATTGTTTCTGCCCAACAGGTGTGGCCTTCTCCTCTAGCACTAGCCAGTTTGTGTTAGGGCCTTGGGTCTTTCCAATGGGCAGTGTTCAGTGAGCAACCAGGCTGTGACACAAGGGACCTGTATTCTGCAGTGTGGGCAACTCTGGAGTGATTTCCCAGGGAACTGCCCCATCTTGGCCAGGGGAGAGAAAGTATATCTGGTGCAAAAAAAAGGAAGGCCATGTGGGATATGGATCCTCAGGTTCCAAGGGGCCCTTGTGAACATGGATATGGCCTGTCCGGGTTGGGCCTCCCACCACGCCTCCTGTTCTCCCACCTCCATTAGAGTGACTCATGCCTGCAGAAARGATGAATCATGTGGGTTATGAAACCCAAGGACTCCTAAAAGGGAGACTGGAAAGGCCCTCAGGTAGCCATCTCTACAGATCCTGCCCTCTCCCTACCCTCTCTTGCCCCTGGTACACCACCTCTACCTGCCAAGCCACAGACTCAAGCAAGTGAATTATGCATAGYACTATAACCAAAGAGACTGCTCCTGGAATCTGAGCATTAGATAAGCAGTTTCTTTCCCACCTCAAGGCCTTCTCTACCTTTTTTGATTTTGTTTTATTTCCCCTTCTGTATTAATCAGGCTGAAGGTTTGCATTCTGTGTGGAGTCAGTTGGGACCAACAGGTCCTGGGAGGAATAAGAGATCTTGCAGCCATCCTCACCTCTCATCATTACTTGTTCTTAGTGTGAACACTTCCATAATTCTCTAGGGTTCGCCAAATAATTATCTACTGGATATCAGGCTGCTCCAGGCAGGAGGTTGAGGATGATTCAACTCACTTTCTCACTGACTAGTCCCAGCTCAATGGGTGCTTTTTAAGAGTATACAATCTAGGGACTACCTTCCACGTGGTGGCAGGCCCTGGGCTCATCAAAGCAAATATTTATCACAGCTGATTGCATGGCAAGAGCCGATGCCATCCTCATAACAGCCATATGGGGTAGAAACCACAGTTACCACTATTTTGCAGATGGAGTGCCTACTCAACAAGGACAATAACTTGCCCAAGATCACACAGATGCTCCGTGGTCAGTCTAGAGATTCACCAGAACAGTCTGCCTCTCTAGGTGAGTTCTATAAACTAGCTGAATGCTGCYAATAGGCTATGCCTTTCCCCAATTCAATGTGCCCCTTCAATCAGGCCGGGTCCTGGGACACCTCAGTGCTTTCGGGGAAGCCTTTTCCTTAGGACCCTGCACACGGCAAGCCCACTCTCCGGTGGTCAGGTGGGCAAGGCTGCCTGGCYTGGGGGAACCACAGCCAGGTGAGTTCTGCCTCCGGTGCGCGATCCCTGGGAAGGCATCAGCGGAAACTCCTTGGGGAATGGGGAACTCACCTGAGATGTCCCAAAGACCTTCCCGGCTCGMAGCAGAACTCGCGGGGACAAGGCTTCCGCTCAGGGCAGACCTGTGTGCTTAGAGACCCAAAAGTCTGCGGAGAAGTTCCCCCGGYGGGGGGCGTTTCGGGCCTCCTCTGCGCCCAGCCCCGGGACTGGACGCAGGCTCCGGCGCCCGGCCGAACGAGCGAGGGCCCAGGGGCGCCACCGGGCCGCGCGGGCGGGAACGCGCGGCGGCCGCCTCCTCCTCCCTCGCTCCCGCCCGCGGCGGCGGCGGCGGCGGCGGCGGCGCTTCCCCGGCGCGGAGCGGCTTTAAAAGGCGGCACCCCACCCCCCGGCGCACTCGCCGCTCGGGCGCCGCGCGAGCCTGCCGCTGCCATGCCTCCGCGCGCGCCGCCTGCGCCCGGGCCCCGGCCGCCTCCCCGGGCCGCCGCCACCGCCGCCGCCGCCGCGGGCGCAGGGGGCGCAAGGGGCGCCGACGGACCAGGGCTCCGGCCGCTCGCACTGCGCCCCTGGCGCTGGCTGCTGCTGCTCGCGCTGCCCGCCGCCTGCTCCGCGCCGCCGCCGCCGCGTCCCGTCTACACCAACCACTGGGCAGTGCAAGTGCTGGGCGGCCCGGCCGCCGCGGACCGCGTGGCCGCCGCGCACGGCTACCTCAACTTGGGCCAGGTGAGTGCGGCCAGCCCAGCGCGCCGRAAACTTTCCCGGCGGCCGGCGGGCACGCGCGAAGGGGCGCCTCTGTCKCCTGCCCGGCCCGTGGCGCCGCGTGGGAAGGCGTCCGGGACGGCTTGGCCGTCGCGTTTGGGAGGGTGGTGGGGGCGTCCCGCCGGGAGTCGCCCKGGAGTGCGGCGCGTGGGACACCCTGCGGAGAGGACCAGGTGGCTCGGGTAAGCTGCCCATGCAATTCGGCAGAGCTGGACGCGGGTTCCCTGGCARTGCCGCCCAGCTCTGGCGCTCGGGGAGTGTCGCCTCGGAAGCGGGCCCGGCACGGACACCTGCCCGTCAGCGCGGCAGTAGGGAGCTCTCTGGAGCGTCGCACTCTGCTCACCGGCGYTGTCTTCATTGCCCACCCAGCCAGCCCTTTATGGCCTTCGCTTGGACCCCCTGCCCTCGACGGGCGGCGCGGGACTCTGGGCCTGGTGCTCGCGCTCGGGAGGCCAGACACTCAGTAGGTGTCATGCGCGTGGCCAGGCGTCTCTCGGGGACTCGCTTTCCCTGTATCCGCGAGCTCTGGGAGGCAGGGTGTCCTGGTACCTGCGCGGGAGCCAAGTCTCTTTCAGGAAGATTTCCCGGGCAGTGTAAGACCCAGTAGCATAGCCCGGGGGTTGGAGGCGGGGTTGGGGGCTGCGGGTCAAACCTTTCTAAGCCCAGAGGGTTGTTTTGTTTTTGCCATCTGCCTGCATTCTAGCTGTGTGACCTTAGGGAAGTCATTTCCCTGACTTGAGCATACGCTTAGGGATGGTGACAGTGCACACTGAATGCAGGTATTGGAACTAACCAATGTTATTTGGAAGACCCAATGTTTGGAAGTAACGTTGTTCAGAGAGGCAGAAGTACCCCTGCCCTCAGCCTCAAGCTATCCCTATCTTCATTTAGTAAGAAAGGCTGAGCCTTGGGCAGGAAGGCTGCATAGCTCCGCAGGACTCTCAAGGCAGTCCCCCTATTTTTTGTTGTGACCCCACAAAAGGCTGATGGGGTGGGCTGATCCAAATTTATGGCCCGTGGAGGACCTCAGCAGGCTGAAGTGTGCAGTCCCACCAGGGGACCACTCAGTGCAGTTAACAAATCTAGGAACTACACACTGAAGAGGAGCAAGTGAAGTGACAAGGAAGCACTGCCTCATAACTCCAACTTGGTGCCTGGCCATGTTAAATTTAGTTTCATCATTATCCATGACAGAAACCAGCAAAGTGTGGTGCAACCCTGATCTAACATTTCTCCCTCATCCCAAGTTGGGTGTTGATACTGCTAGTGTGGAGTATAAGACCTCTTGGAAGGGTAGATTCTGCCTTTTCAAGTTAACTTCACAAGGTGGTTCAGAGTTTTATCTGAAAAAACATACTCACATCTTTTGTATGTCTTTAAAAAAAATTTCTTTTTGGCCCCTCAGGTCTCCTCAAATAGCCTGTGATTTAAGATTTTGCCTTGGGTAGCACTGTCTGTTTCTTTCTATAGCTTTCAAATCTCCCTGGCTGATTGTCCAGGCTGTAGAAGGCACTCCTCCTGTTTGCTTAAGGGCTCTGGGTGCTCCTGCCACACTCTGCTGCTCTGCCCAGGTGGCCTAGCAATTTGTCTTCAGCTACAAGTATGGTAAATTACAAAGTGCTTGGATTTTGGGTTCCCATAATTAAAAGAGAAGAGGGGAGCTGAAGTTGAACTATAACTTCTTGGATATTGCAAGAGACAGGCAGAGAGGCGCAGTCAAGCCTCCCTTGACATTTCTGTCCCCAGAAATAAAACTGTCCAGCCCCTCCCTGATCATGCAAGGCCTTTGAATCAACTTTTAGATTAAGTTGCTTTCTCATAAAGTCTGCTCTCTTGATTTTGCCTGTGGGTGAGAAGGGTCCCCCCCGCCCCCTGCATGTAACCCTGTACTCAGAACATTCCAAGGTGTCTCTGAGGGTTTCCCCAGCTCTGCTCAGTGCAGTCAAGGTGGACTCTTACAGTCTGGTCACTCAGCTTGGTAGGCAGGCATGGTGTTGGTGGGGTCACTGGGACATTCACAAACTGAAGGATTACTTTGTTGGGGATAGGAGCTGTCTCAAAGGCCTGGGCATGATTACTCAAGGGAGGCCTATTACTCTTTATTCCCAAACTGGCTTTCTGTCCCCACCTCTAAGTGCACTGCTAATGTGGAAAAGGCCTGGAGCTTTCCAACCTCTACCCACTCAATAAGAACTCTTTAAAAAGCTTATTGCCTTTTTTCAACCAGGAGAATTTGTGACTCATAAATAAGATGTAGACGTTATTACCTTTGATTTATAGATGAGTAAATGGGGGTAAAGCAAGGGAGGGAAGCTGTTTGTGTTCACACGGTAAGCCTGTGTCACCTCTGACAATTGCACTCCCTGCTCTTTGTCTCTTGCTGTATTCTTTTGTGTGACTTTCCAAATCCTTGATGAGCAATTAGTATTATGCTCTGTACCTGCCTGAATCACAGCACTGGTTTCCCCTCCATCATTGTGGCTGGGCTCTGAGTTCTTGCTTGACTATTTTACAAAACTGATAATTTGACTCAGTTTATCTAACATGGTCCAAAGGTAATTTAGACCAGTGGTTATTCACTTTTTTTTTTTTTTTGAATCATAGATTTTTTTTCAGAGTCTGATACAGTCTCTGGATCTTTCCCATTAMAAAAATGCATCGTGGAGCTGGGGTTGTGGCTCAATGGTAGAGAGCTGGCCTAGCATGAGAGAGGCCCTGKGTTTGATCCTTTAGCACCACATAAAAAATAAATAAAATAAAGGTATGAAGTCCAACCGCAACTAAAAAATAAATATTAAAAAATATGCATCATTCAGAAATAAGGCAAGCTAGTTACTCTTTGCCTCCTCTAGCCAGCATTCCATATAATGCCAAAAAATAGGGTAGGGAGAAAKAAAAAACAGGAATAAAAATTTGGAAGAGTCAAATGTCATTATTGACAGATCACATAACTAAACTACTTGGATAATCCAAGGAAATATAAAGATTAACTATTAGAACTAAAAGGAAAGTTGAGTGTGCTGCTAGATCAACATGAGCTACCTATATAACAGCAACTTTTATCTGAGAAGATAAAACAAATTGTAATTAATTTTAGTATAAAAGCTATAAGATACTTAGGAATAAATCTAAAATAAAAAGGAGACTTATGGAGAAAATTTAATTAAAAAAGAAATCTTTAAGCTTTAATGTTGCTAGTGATTGAACCCAGAGCCTTGTGCATGCAAGGCATGCACTCTACCACTCAGCTACATTCCCWGCCCCTGAAAATTACAAAACATTTAAAGGAAATATTAAGGGTAAAAAAAGAGATGCATTATGTTCATGTATGGAAGGATTAAATATCATAGTTACTCCTAAATTAATCTGTTAATTCAGTGTAATTCTGTTTAAGACCCAACTGGATTATATGTGGAATATGAAATCCACAGAGGAACTTTAGAATTCATATGGAATTCTATATGGAAGCATGAGGTCCAAGAATACCTCAAACAAGTCTGAAAAAGAAGAGCAAGAAGGGAAGCTATGGCAATCCTAGCAGTTCAGCACTGGCCCAGTGATTGTCCAGCCCCTTAGTGGAATGAACTCAACCAAGCATGTAGGGGAACCTGTATATGTGAGCAGAAGTATTACAAAGGGATGGGAAAACATGGACCACTTATTTAATAGTGCTGGAGAAGCAACTCTCCACATGGAGAAACAATTGGATTCTCACCTCACACTCCACAACAGTAAATTCCAGATAGTGTTAAAAGGCCTGAAAGAAGCTAATACAAAAAGGAAGRGATTGATACATTAAAATAAAAATTCTATATAAATAAGGACATCCTAACAATTAAAAACCAGTAATAGACCAGGAAAAGTATTATAACAAACCAATTAGTGCATAAGGTATTTTAAAAATTATAAGTCAATGTGGAAAAGAGAAATATCAGGTAAAATGTGGAAGTATATGAAGAGAGAATTCAAAAGAGGTGATCCAAAAGGCCAATAAGCAGAAAAGATGCTCAGCCTCACTGGGAGTTACGGCAGCACAACAGCTTAAGGCAATAACGAGATACCATTTCACATCTATCAGATTGGCAAACATGTAAAGGCATTAGCATCAAGAGTTGGCAAGAATGTAGAGCAACGAGAACTTTCAGTTGTTGCTGCTGGTGGAACTAGTATAAGTAGGAGAGCATTTTGGCTTCTATGGCAAGGCTGCATTGTGCCTGTAAGTCCTCATCTAAGCTCATACTGGACAGACTCTTGCACACATGCATAGGGAGCCTGATATAGGAATGTGCTTTCAGGARTTTCTTAAGAAGGGAAAAACAACCTAAATATACACCAGCAGAAGAATGGAGAAATAAAAGTCACACCATGGAACACTATGCAGTGGTTATAAATGAATAAACCAAGATATATATCTGTCGGGTTTCTGTACACGACTAAAAGGCTCAGGGGTCACTTCAGGTGAAATRGGCTAATTGGGCTGCACGAAATAACCACAAAGAGACACAAATACCTTTTTCTTTGGGGTCACTGTGATGGCTCCTCTGACCTTAAGGGTCCGCAGGAAGAGAGAGAGAGAGAGAGAGAAAGAGAGAGCGCGAGGGAGCGCGAGGGAGCGAGCTCAGGCTGACCCCTTTTATTGGGGAGAAGCTATTCAAATGAGGCAAGGGGTCAGGTTTCAGGGGCTGAGTCTATCTTCATGATGTCCACTGTCAGCAGGTTGACTGACATGTAGGTAGGCCACACACAAGGGCAYAGTAAGAGTAGGGGACACACACAAGGCACTTCCATGAAAYAATCTATCCTAAACAGGGCAAGGGGTTATATTTCAAAGGAATAGGTGAGCATAGCTCCACCCATGGGGCTGTAGGAAGTCACACCCAGGCACCAAGACACAGTCACTGGAATCCTAGAAGAGCAGGGCAGTCTAGCAGCATGGGTGCCTGATGCTACATAGCTCAGCAGGG